GTTCCATGTCACGGCAGGTGTTCCACTCAACCCCTCTGTGATTAAACATCACCGTGCTCCTTTTCCCCTTTCTTGCCTTTTTAAAGGTCAAGAACATCCTACTTGATTTTTCAACTTTTGTTGATTTTAGCCTTTTGATTTTGTGGCCAGAAAAAGCTTTGGACCAAATGTTTTTAAACACGCTAGACCCTAAGTCTATTAGTGCTTCTGTACAGAATGTTTTCTGGAATACCTTCAAGAAAAACAAGTGGGCAGAAATGTTCTTATAAGAGATTAAACCTCGATCAACTGCCTAAAACTCTCCTACCTGCTCCTCACCTGTATTCTTAGATAATTCTATGCCTTAAAAAAAAAAAAAACCCAAAAACCTTTATTGAGATAATTCCCATAGTATGAGGCTCACCATTTCAAGTGTACATTCAGGGATATTTTGTACAGTTACAAAATTGTTTATCCATTGCCATTATCTAACTCTAGCACATTTGTATCATGCCAGAGAGAAACCCCCTACCCATTAACTTCCCATTCCTCCTCCTCCCTCCACCCCCTGGCAACCACTAATCCACTTTCTGTCTCTACAGATTTGCCTATTCCTGATATTTCATATTAATGGAACCAAACAATATGTGGTCTTTTGTGATTGGCTTCTTTCACTTAGCATGATGTCTTCAAGGTTCATCCATGTTGTGGCCATGTGACAGTCCTTTTCCCTTTTTCTTGCTGAATAATATTGTCTGGTCGACATGGTTTTATGATGAAAGTTGCCTGTCTCCCTGAAGGACACTAATGGGCTTCCACTTTATATCGTGCTTTTCCTATTACAAACTGGGAGAGGCCTAATGAAACAATGTTTCTATTGTCCAATTACTCTTCAGGGTGATTATGTCAAAAGTATTGCACCTTTGTAATACACCAAATGGATTGAGTTCATAATTTAAAAAAAATTTTCCCTGTCAAAAAAACAAAAACAATACAGAGGGCAATAAAAATCACCTGTTAACTACTAGCCAGCAATAACCACTATTAACATTAAGGCCATAGAGTTCTGGTATTTTTCTTCTGTGTATTTGTATAGTATATTTTATTTCTTTGTTTTATATAAAATGGATATACTGCCCTTAGATGTTCCTAGTCTGATTTTCACTTAAAATTATATTGTACACATTTTTTCATGTAATTAACAATTCTTCTAAAGCATGATTTTTCGTTGCTGTGTAGCATTCTATTGCATGAAAACACTATAATTTAAAAAAAATTGGGGCTGGGCCTGGTGATTCACTCCTGTAATTCCAGTGCTTTGGGAAGCCAAAGTGGGAGGATGGCTTGAGGTCAGGAATTTGAGACAAGCCTGGGCAACATAGTGAGATCTGGTCTCTAAAATTTTTTTTTTTAATTCAGCCAAGTGTGGTGGGGGACACCTGTAGTCCCAGCTATTTGGGGGGCTGAGGTGGAAGGATCACTGGAGTCCAGGAGTTTGAGGCTGCCGTGAGCTATGATCACACCACTAAACTCCAGCCTGGGCAACAGAGAGAGATCCTGTCTCAAAAAAAAAAAAAAAAGAAAGAAAAGAAAAAACATTAAATTTTGGCTTACTATAATTTTTTTTAATCCAATTGATGGACCCCATGGCTCTGAGGGTCTGATCTTAGATGCAAGTGTTAGCAAATTCCCTGGTGGAAGACTGTTGTCACCTGACTGCTAGGATCCTGCAAATTTGAGCACATGCTACAAGAAATTTCTGCAGCACCAGCCACTTTCTAGAGGCTCATCAAAAAGATGCTTTTAAATATGGGTGCATTTGCACTAATCGCATGTGGGGCCCTGAAGGGAAGGTAAGGAGAGGCTGTCCTGGATTCGCTGGGAGGGGCCAGTGTGTAAGTCTCCTGATGTCTAGGGGCAGGAGGTACTTCAGGTGAGGCTGAGCCAGGACCTAAGATGGGCAATCCTGGCCTTGTGGAGAACTAAAGAAGACTTCCATGACTTGGGGACATTTGTGAAAAATAATGACCTTGTTGCAAAATCTTTCACTTCTTTCCTCTAGAAGCTTTGGGGCAGGACTGTCTCTAATATTTGCAGGGCCTGGAGGACCATTCCAGCGGGAGGCTTCCATCCGGGGTCCATCCACCCCCTTCTCTTGCCACCTGGATCCATCCTGTGCCTTGTGGGGGCCTCGAGTTCATGGATGTGGACTCCTGGGCCCACAAGTCCAAGCTCTCTCTGTAGCCTCTGGACCCAAATAACACACTTTGGCTACCTCTTGGACACTGGGGTGTGCACACCTGCAGCGTGCTCCACCCATGGGAGGACGGGCAGATAAGAGGATCACATGGGCCCTGGAAATTGGCTCTGGGCCAGAGGATCCCAACACCCTGGGCACCTGGAGTGTGGTTTAGGAAGAAGACAGTGGCTCTCAGCGGGGGTCTGGAGGGAGAACGCTTAAAGCACGTGGTGGGGACAGGGGCCCCAGTGCTGGGTGTGAGTGCCTCAGGCCAGGGGGGCAGCATGGCCTGGGGCTGTGTAAGCCAGTGACAGGCCTCAGAGGCCAAACTGCCTGCCCCAGCTGGCCTGTCAAAGCATCAGGAAATGCTGGAGGCAGGAGCAGCTGCATAGGAATCAGCTACAGGCTCACAGGGTGAGATGCAGGGCCCTTCCTCCACCGGCCTTTCATGACCGGGCTGCCCATGGGACTATACGCACCTTACATGTGCCATCCTGAACCCATGAAGCCCAGAGCTAGCTCAGAGAAGCCACATACTTGAAACCGTCACCTTCTGAGTCCTCTTAACTTGGAAATTGTAGGTACTTTCCATAGTACCAGGAGCAAGTCCACTGAAGGTTCAAGGAAATTGGAGGCCCCCAGGGGTGAAGGCATTGTTGCAAGGGGGTTGAGACTTCCTCAAAGAGAGTCCCCCACCCCAGGGGCTTAGTTCTGAGATAAGCTACAAGCCCCTGCACTGCCTGCAGTGGGGGTGGGGTGAGGAGGTGGGGGAAGGGGGGTGGGGGGTTGGGTTGCTTCTGTTGACTGGGCCCAGGCAAGGGACTGAGCAGAAGGCAGTGCTGAGTCAAAACAAGAGGAGTGTAGTCTCCCCTGCCAGCCTCCTAAGCCTCCGTGCTTCCCCAAACTCTTGTTCAGACTTAGAGCTCCCCAAGATGACCTGGGCCCCTGGGTCCTTGTCTTGCTATGTGTTTCTTGGGCCAGGAGCATTGCTTCACCTGGGAGCTTGCAGACCTGCAGAATCTCCCAGCCGCCTCAGACCTGTGGTCTCCAAACCTGCATTTTAACAAAATTCTCAGGTGACTCGTGTCCACATCAGAGTTTGAGAAGTGCTGTTCTCAAATGGCCGAGTACCATTCCCGAGTTTAGCCAAATCTCTCAGTAATGATGGGCTTCGGAACTCAGCTGTGTTCACAATTTTCAGACAGTGGGAATTAACTACCTCCTTATATCTCCCTTGTCATTCACCCCCTAGAGCTCCCAACTCTCTCCTCCTTCTAGGCAGAATTCTCAGGTTCTTATTCCCAGGCAGGTGTTTGTTGTCTGGGATAGCCTTGTGAGTATCTTGGGGCGGGGGCAGCCTTCTATTTCTTTTGCATCTTCCTGTAGAGCAGTAGGTTTCCAGGAGCGATCTCACCTGGGAATTTGTTAGGAATGCAAATTCTCAGGCCTTGCCCCAGTTCTTGGGAATCAGAAACTCTGAGGGTGGGGCCAAGCCATCTGTGTTTAACAAGCCTTCCAGAAATTTCTGATGCAAACTGCAGTGTGGAGCCACCAGAGCCTTGTTACCGCTTGGTTCGCAGGAGCTAGTTAGAAATGCAGACTCTGGCGCCCCACCCCAGACCTACAGTCAGCACCTGCAGACTCATGTGCACGTTCTAGTGCCCAGAGCCCTGCTCCAGGCCAAAAAGGGAGGGACAGTTCTACAGAAGCACAGGTGAATCACGGACCAGGTGTGGCTTTCCTGTTGAAAATGGGTAGGACTCAAAAGGAGGGGACAAAGGATGGAAATACAAGGTTAGTGCGGGAAGAGCTGAATCCTGGGGGCAGAGTACTGGGGAGGCGGAGAGGAAGTTGCCTTACTTAGGCGGAAATAAATCAGAGAACGCTTGGGTCAGTTAACAAGGTCAAGGCTTGAACCTGGAGAAGCTCAGGCTCTGGCTGGGGCTAAGTCTCCCGCTAGAGTGGGGAGCTGTACAGACCCCGATTTCCCTCCGAAGGCAGAGGAGGGTCTTAGCCCCAGAGGGGTAGAAGGGAAACAAAGGTGGCAACTGACAGTTCTCCGGAGGATTAGACTCAGTTATGTTTATGCTGGTCATTTAAATTTTTTTTTTCTTTCTTTCCTTTTTTTTTTTTTTTTTTTCATAAAAATTCCTTTAGCACAACTCACGGGAGTGAGAAGTAACAGGAAGAAAACATGAGGCCCAGGAAAGATACAGATGGATATAACTCACTCTGGTCTTACCAATGCCTATTCTTTGAATGATTTAAGTCTTCTTAGTGGGCTAATTTTGAGAAATTATGATTGGTGAACAATGAAAATTTTATTTTTAAATAATTAGGAAAACGGTAAAAAAGGTAGAGTAAAAATAGCTTGAGAAATTTTTATGTAAGGATCAACTTTGAGATACCTAACCCCCACATTGTTCAAGGGTCAGCTGTACTTTAGAACTTAAATTTCATTTTATCAATCAAGAAAATCTATTTCTGGATCCAAGACAGAAAAAAGCTTCCAGAGTGTTCCTACTGCTGCAATAGTGCCCTAGCTGTTTATCCAGTGCTAAGAGCACTTAGATACTTTGGGGGGGAAAAAAAAAGGCAGCAGAAAAAAACTGCTGGCAACTGGGAAGTGAGGAGGAGGGTGGGACAAGGAGCAGGTGCACGAACCAGCAGCCTTGTCTTAACGGAGGAGTGAGGACTGAAAGTGCCACCTGGTTCAGGTTAACCTCCACATTACCCTGCCCAGACGCGCGAGCACAGGGACAGCAACCGCAAATGCCACAGATGGTGCTCATCTTAGCTCCTGTTTAATTTCAGTCAGATATTAAACATTTATAAATCTTTTATACAACAAAACAAGGACATGCAAAGTTACAAATATAGAAAATATAAAGTCCATGCATATTTCAAAGACCAGTTAATGGTGCCCACTTTGGATTCTTATATAAAACTATTCAGTGCACATTGTAAGCCTACGGACCACACAAAAGGGTTTCCCACATAGTAAGTATTTAGTACCTGACAAAAACAGTTAATGCATTAGATTTTTCAGATGTTAACTGTTCTAAACAAAACTCCTAAGTTTCTCATGTGCAATATATATTTTATATATTTAATATATATATTTTTTACATAGAATACCCGCACAGTGCAAGCCAATAACATTGCAGAACAGTAATATATATCTGCTAGGTGACGGTATTGAACAATTCAGGGAATCATTTTACCTTACTTAAATAACATGAACAGAATTTCTTTTTCTACTTTGAATGCATCATGCTCCTGTCATTCCAATCCAAGATATGTTTCAGATTGTCTCCCTATTCTTTGATTCAAAAGCCAATTACAGAGACTAAGGACTCGACTTAATTCTGGTTTTTGACAATTATGAGACAGAAACGCAGAAATGCAAGTACTTCTTTTCCCTGTACACCAGCCACTTCCTTCATCACACAATCCTCTATGATGACTGTGATTTTACAACTGCAGCTTTCCTCTATGTTAAAATCTCCTGGTTTCACTCACACAACATTTAAATCATTCTGGCTTCCAGGAAATGAACAAAGGAGATTTGTCTAGAAGGTAATCTAATTTTCTGCTGCCTTAATTATCTATAGTTTACGCTACCAAAGAAAGGAATGCCACATGGAGGTACTTTCAACATCCAGGATGAGAGGTTGCCTCAAAGGGCACCATTCCCAAATGCTGGATTTTTCGGTCCCAGAAGCCTTTCATGTCTGTTGCAGCTATTTATTTCATATGTGTCATGTTATTCATTCCCTGTGAATATGTCCTCTGGCCAGAGATCTAGACTTGCACCGACACTTACTCCTGATGCAACAGCTCCTGTGTAGCCCGTACTGCAAGAGGTCACAGTTCTCTGCAGACACAGAGCATGTGCTCCAGCGGGCTGAGCCTGCGGCTCGAGAGTTAAGGAGTTCTAGTTTTGTTTTTTCTTAAATGAGTATCATGCAACCTCTTTCCAAATTTGGCAGAAATGCTGTCGGGTTTTCTGAAAATGGATGAGAAAATTTCTCCAAATTGCTATGAAATCACCGCTAAGATGGGGCATCCGTGTATTGAGCTCTAGTTGCTGAAAGAGCCAGAGGTTTTCAGGCAACAGTATTTGAGGACTGATTTGAGATTCATTTTAGCTCCAACCTGGTGCAATAGCACCAGATCAAAAATAAGTCTAGATGAACCCGTGGTGATTTGCTCTTATGCTTACTGGCCCAGATTAGCATTGGCCCATGAAGGACTCACTCAAAAGGAGTTTAAATAAAGAGCATCCTGGGTCTACTTGACATTTCCCAGTGCCCATCAGTGCCAAGGGGATTTATTAGCCTAAGGGGGACAAAGAAGCAAGAATGAGACACCTCCACTAAAAGGGCTGCAGGTGGATACCCCTTCCCCCAACCTGGAAAAAGATGAAGAAGATGGTGAAGACAGGAAGACGTTCCTCATCCCACAATCAGGAAGATGAGGAAAGAGATGAGGAGGATCACGGGTGGGGACGAAAACAGGACCATGCTCGAGCCTCTCTGGTAGGCAGCCTGGTACTCCTTCTGGTACTGGGTGACACACATCTGCTCCACCACGCGCTCCATCATCTTGACGTCGGTCTCGGTGAAGTTCTCCCCTTTGGTGGTGGTGGTGACCGTGTGCTGCTTGATGGTGATATTGACGCAGTCGTGCACGAAGTTGTTCTGGTTGCTGTACTGATCCACCGGTTTGTAGTACACTTGGTTGGGGTAACGGTTCATGTTTTCACGATAGTAACGGTCCTCATAGTCATTGCCAAAATGCATGAGGGGCCTGCTCATGGCGCTCCCCAGCATGTAGCCGCCAAGGCCCCCCACCACTGCCCCCGCCGCCGCAGCGCCTGCCATGTGCTTCATGTTGGTTTTTGGCTTACTGGGCTTGTTCCACTGACCGTGGGAGCCACCTCCTTGACCCCAACCACCGCCACCATGAGGCTGTCCCCAGCCGCCCCCGTGGGGTTGTCCCCAGCCACCCCCATGGGGCTGTCCCCAGCCACCGCCATGAGGCTGCCCCCAGCCGCCGCCACCCTGCGGTGGGTAGCGGTTGCCTCCAGGGCTGCCCTGCCCCGGGTATCGGCTCCCCCCAGTGTTCCAGCCTCCCGGCTTCGGTCGCTTCTTGCAGAGGCCCACGTCACTCCATGTGGCCACAAAGAGAACCAGCATCCAGGAGCCAAGGCTCACCATGATGACTGATCTGCAAAATGAAGAAGACAGTGTCAGTGCCCTATATTTATGCTGAAACCACTTAACGTTTGCTGCATAATGAATGCGTGCACAGTGATGCCTTCAGCTCCTCGGTAAAAACACTCTTCATGCCCTGCACTTCTCTGCAACACTGAGGACAAAAGCAATTGTAAATAAAGCATGAATGCAACTCTTTCTCTTTCTCTAAGGACAAATTTGACCTAAGTTAATAATGTTTAGCTCTGTTTCCTAGAAAACTAATAAAGGTGGAATGCCAACAATGTCATTTATGGTACAAATAATTTCCATTGGTAAGCTGCATCTGGACTGGGAGAATCATAACTCCTTCTGGGGGGAGGGGGTTGCCGTAACTTTGAGGTTCTTTAGAGCAGCGATTCTTGTGAAGAGGCATATCCTTGTGAAGATCCTGGAAACTGTGCCCAGTCAGGCTGCTATACGGGGTATTGGCTCTTATAGGGGATGGGCTTCTATGCCAAAGGGAACCCTTTACCCACCCTGGACCTCATTCCCTTGTACCTGAGCAGTCACTTGTTGGGGCTGGGGGTGAAGACAAGTCCCTGGATGCTGTGGACCACTGTGAGGACCCTTCTGAGGAACCTGAGGCCAAGTGTGGCCTATGGACATCTTGTGTGAGTCTAATGTCTAGTTTGGATGACAGTGATTACATAACTTTGCAAATAGCTGGCTCAATGTTTTCTTTCCTCTGCAAGAATACAGGCAGGAAATAAGTCTCTCTTGTTTGCTGCTGTATCCTCAGAGGCTAGGGCAGTGCCTGGCACAGAGCAGGACATAATAGATATTTGTTAAGTTAAGGAATTAATATCCCCTGAGCACATAAATGCCAAGTTTTTCCTCAAAGGAATTCTCAATACAATTCTACTAGAAACAGGAAACATCTAAGATTTTGAAAGCCACCTTGTAAATTCATCTCTCTTTCTAGACAGACAGACAGGCAGACAGATGGGGCTGCTCAGAGTGGGGGAAATGGGCCGTGTTCACAAGCTGAACAGATACTTGCTCACTGAGTGCGTTTCGGTTCAACATTTAATATTTATGAGTGATTTATTTTCTTCTAGTTTGTGATACAAAAGAAACCTTTTTTTATACAAAAGGGCTAGCATAGTTTAGAAAACAACAAACAAACCAAATATTCTAGATGATAATTTATACTCTTTTGCAGAATGTACATTCATCAAATTAAAAATCTCCTTTCAGGCCCGGGGCAGTGGCTCACGCTTGCAAACCTAGCACTCTGGGAGGCCAAGGTGGGAGGATCACTTGAGCTCAGGAGTTTGAGACCAGCCTGAGCAAGACAGAGACTCCATCTCTACTAAAAAAGTAGGAAAAATTAGCCAGGCCTGGTGGTGTGCACCTGTTGGGAGGCTGAGGCAGGAGGATTGCTTGAGCCTGGGAGTTTGCAGTTGCAGTGAGTTATGACGCCACTGCACTCTAGTTGGGGCGACAGAGACTCTGTCTCTGAAAAAAAAAAAATCTCCTTTCAGATTAAAGATCTCACCATGGGTGCTCAGTTCCGAGGGCAGAGATCAAAGACACATAGTAGAATGATTATTAAACAGTCTCTACTGTACCCTACATCAAATCATATGCTCTAAAATATCACTGTATAAAACCTAAAATGCCATATGCTGTAACAGTGAATGAAGTTAGTCTTGTCCCCAGCAACTGGGATTATCTGTAAATTTTTTTAAAATTAAAAAATAATTTATCATATCCTGCAGAGCTAACAATTAAATTGGGTAATAGCCATAGAATTGCTAAACAAATAATTGAATTGACAACCTGCTTATGTTTCTACTAACATTACTGAAATCACAAGAGCTTTACTTGTCACTTGGTGGTCATAAGCAAATCAAAATATATTTGGAAGTTACAAGCCAAGTTACAGTACTCAGATCACACCAAGTAGGAGTTTGGAGGCTCTTTTGGGTGGTGGTTTTAGGCGCAGGGTCCTGGGACATGATGACTGGGCCCATTCCTGCCCCCACACTTCCTGGCTCCTAGTCTTTGCAGGGCTGCTTCCCTGATCTTGCCCCATGATCTCATGGGGCCCAGCTCTTAGCCTCCCCACTGCTCACAAACTAGCGGACCACCCCTTGAGTCAGTAACTCCCAATTTAAAGAGGCTTTATGTCAACAACTTCTTTATTCACCCCAGTAAGCCAAATCCAGCCAACACCCTGGAGTTATTCTTGAATTTTCTCTCCCAGCATATATTGGATCTATCAGCAAATCTTAGCAGCTCTATCTTGAAAATAAACCCTAAGCCCCTCAGCCCCTCACATTTTCCAACATGACCATCGCTTCTCACCTGATTCCTTCAACAGCCTCCTAACCAGCCTCTGGGTTTCCCTCCACCCCCACTGTGCATCCTCCTTTTAATATGTGTGTTACATCTTGCCACTTCCTTGTCCTCAAGTGGAGCTCCTTTGTCCTACGGATAAAACACAAAGTCCTGGCTATGCTGACTGGGCCCCACGTGACCTGGGCCTCTGCTGCTCCACAAACCTGACAAGCGTGGTCTTCCCTGGGCCTGGAAGGCTCTTCCTCCAGCTACTCATGCCGTTCACATCTGCTTGAATGTCATCTCAAGGAACTTTCCACACCACTCTACCTAAGACAGCATCCCTACCCTACTTCCTTTCTCCTTGCCCTGCTTCATTTTTCTCTGGAGTAGTTATGGCTACTTGATATATTATTTATCGTATGCTTATTGTTCATCTTCTCCACTGGAGCGTAAGCTCCTCCAAGACAGGGGTTTGGTTTTGTGCATAGCAGCATCCCCAGACATAGCACCCGACACACCGACATGCAAAACAAATGCTGAATGAATGAATGAATGTGAAAATATCTCAAATAAAACATAAGGAATAATCAAACTATTAATAAAAATGAAATATTTACAATGGATTCCAAAAGAGAACCATACTTATACATTTATGAAACATTCTTTTCTGCAACGGCCAGCTAACATCTTCAATTCAGTTGACACATTGGCTGCCACACTGGAAAAAAATTTTTCCTTGGGGTCACAGTGTTTTATTAGGAAAATAGAATAAAAACACTGAGAACAAAATGAGCCTTTCTAACTTAATGAAAAATTTGTCAATTTTTTATTGTTTTCTGTGCATGAGTTATATGCAACTTGAAAAATAGTTCACACAGCTCGCAAGTGAGAGTGTGAGCTCACAAGAGACGTGTGAGTTACGTATGCTTCACAAGGCCCAGGTTCAAAATTAGCATGAGTTAAATACAACTCACATGGCAGTTAACGTGTTAAATAAACATTTATTTCATGTGTCAGCCACCATGATGGACTCCGGCTGGCTAGAGCTGTTATCTAAGATGAGCAAGATGGGAGGAAAAGGACGCCTCAGGGGAATGACTCTGAGTGGGGCTTTGCACAGACCTGCTTAAGGCTGTAAGAGTTACGGCTCTGTGAGTTCACGGTGACACATGGACAGGCAATGACCCGGCACAGTGAGGGAGGCACAGAGGACAGCAACTGGGCACAGATGGTGGATGGGGCCAGACTGCTTCTGAGTGGAGATGGGCACCGGCAGGTCTGGGGACCTTGCATCTAAGATCCTCCCTGTGAACTGTCAGGTTGTGGCCTAATCCTCTGGCATGTTCCAAGATATTCGATGAAGTATTTAATAGTGGCCAATACCTATCTATCACTCAGAAGAACACTAAAAATGCTCTTAGAAACAAGAGAAGATGTCCATTGTCTCAGAACTCAAGTGCCTGTCCAATGTCATATTCAAAGGCAAAGAAGTAACAGGTATAAGAACTGCAAGGAAAGAGCTTGGGCTGATATTACTTGTAATTTATGTGATCATACACATAGAAAATCCAACAGAATCAACAGAGGTAACATGAGAACCTACTAGATTTCAGCAAGGTTGTAGGATACCAGATCAGCTTACAATAATCAACTGCATTTTCCTGTAATAATTGCCTAGAAGAAAAGACAGATAGTCACAATAACAACCAAACGGTAAAGCATCTAGGAATTGACTTAACTAAGAAAAGATAAGATTTCCATGGGGGTGGGGAGAATTAAAACTCTAATATAAGGAACTTAGAAGATGATCTGAGAAAATGGAGAGTCCATGGTCTCTACTGGATAATTCAGTATTATAAAGATGTCAGTTATCCCCAAATGAACTGGCAACTTCAATAAAATGCCAATCAAAATCCAGGTGGATTCTTTTGAGGAATTCAATAAATTATCACAAGGAAAGAAATGTCCACGAATAAAAAAGTTAACTTAAAAAAAAAGAGTAAAAGGCTGGGCGTGGTGGCTCATGCCTATAGTCCTAGCACTCTGGAAGGCCAAGGCAGGCAGATCGTTTAAGCTCAGGAGTTCGAGACTAGCCTGAGCAAGAATGAGACCTTGTCTCTACCAAAAAAATAAAAAGAAATTAGCTGGACAACTAAAAATATATAGAAAAAATTAGCCGGGCATGGTGGTGCATGCCTGTAGTCCCAGCTACTTGGGAAGCTGAGGCAGGAGGATCGCTTGAGCCCAGGAGTTTTGAGGTTGCAGTGAGCTAGGCTGATGCCTCGGTACTCTAGCCTGGGCAACAGAGTGAGACTCTATTTCAATAAAAAAAAAAAAGAAAAAGAGTAAAGAGGAAGGAATTTGTCCTATCAGACACAAAATCATATTGCAAAGCCACAGTAATAATGACTGGATGGTAAAAGTTCAGGAACATACCAACAGATAAGGAGGTTCAGAGATAAACCTATGTATATATATATGCTTTATCAGGGACTTAATCTACATAAAGTGGGCACCACAAATCAATAAAAAAGGAAGGTTCGATGCTACTGGGAAAATGGAGAAAAAGAAAACTGGATCCCTGATACCATATGCAAAAGAGAACTCAGATGGATCTGCATGTGAAAGCTAGGACTAAGGCATTAGAAGAAAATATGGGCAAATGTCTTTGTGACCTGGAGGAGG